GGGGGTGCACCGGTTCCCCAACCAGGCGCTAAAGTCAATTGATCCAGACGCCTCGTTTCATCCGCCATCAATGTGGTTTCGTTTGGTTTATGTGGATCGCTATCTATGTCTCTTCCTCGGTCTTCCGCAAGGTACTGGGGATAGGTGCACAATGCCTCAATCCTCCTTAAACGATGAGCCTGCGCCTTTCAAGCTTGAGCGAGCCCTTTGTGCGATTGCGGCAAAGATCTTGGAACGGAATGAGTCCGGCATGTGCTACTATGTCCAAGACCAAGCCATCGATGACGAGCTTCTGAAGGTCTATCAAAGTTTACCCGAAGATTTCTGGCGTGTACCAAACTTTGATACTATTATTCAAGGCTCGTTCGAAGACGTTTCAGGAGTGGATAGCCTTGTGGCTCAAGTATTTCATTTTCACCTGCTGAATCAGCTGCATCTTCCATACATGTTAAGCTTCATTCACAGCGACCGCTCTCCAGACGTGGACAGACACATAGACTACTCCACCATTAGTTGCGCCAATGCCAGCCGTGAGATTCTCAAACGATTTGTTGCTTACCGTGGTTTCAACTACGTTGCTTTATGTTTCCGACCGGCAGACTTTGCAGCCTTCACGGCAGCATTAAGTCTGCTGCTCGCTCATTTCGACTCGCAACTTTCGCGTCGTCAAGGACGGCCCCCTTCGGTAGCAGGAAATGTTCTAGCACATCAACGGTCAAGCGATCGCACAATGCTTGAAGAAGTGCTAGAGAAGCTGGATCTAGTCGGCCAGTATAACGACGATGAGATGTGTCTCGAGGGTGCGAAATTACTACGATCGTTACTGGATATCGAAGAGGAAGCCGCCCAAGGGAAGCAGTATCAATGGGCACCCAGTAGCACTGAAGGCAATGAACGGACAGTAGACATTCACGGTGAGCAGGTCGAGAGTGAAGCAACACTCCGCATCTCAATCCCATATTTTGGTTCCATTTGCATATCACGGACGGGACGCATATCCAGAGAATTCCCGCCTGATGCTGCGAGATTTGGTCACGCTGCAGAAAGCGTATTAGGCGGCGCGTCTTCATCGAGAGCGCCAACCGATTTATCCTCCTTTGTGGATACGTCCAAAGTTCCCAGCGCATTCGCGGTGGCCCAGGAGATTACAGAAACGTACACTGAGTCAATGAGCAACAATGAACAAATCATGACAGACTGGGGGCCAGCGATTACCGCTGGCATGGATAGTTGGGCATTCCAAGGCGTTGACATGGCTTTCTTCGACAATCTCCTCTTAGATGCATCAGCGATGCCAGACTCAAACAGTTAGAGCTTAAATAAGTCAATTAATAGTGTGTAGAAAAGTTTACATACATAATATTGTCAGTAATTAGTTGAAGAAAGAACTTAATGCCCAGGGATGATTTTATACATATCATTACACAAACCCCCGCAGAAATAGTACTTCGAGACATTTCACCTGTGGTTCCGCCTAGGCGGCGGTTTAACGATCGACGAGCTAGTTCAAACAGACCCAGTGGCTTTCACGTCTTTGACCAGCTTACAAATGTCCAATTACATAAGTAGTTTCAATGATTAGCATACGTGCAATTACCAGTACGTGTTGCAGCTTCAACAGCGATACAAAAACTAAAGACTGAAGAGGTCTTCAGTACAAGTCGAAAGATGATACCTTCTCCCATCATTTCTCACAGTGATCGAGAACACTATCAAGACTCCCATCTCGATTCCGCATCTTGAAACTCACGTCTAACGATGGCTTCTGAACTTCGACATTCCGATCATGCGTGGTGTCCCGGCAATGGCACGGACAGCGGAAGTGTTACCGAAACAACGTCTAATGTTATTCCAAACGATCAAGACAAAACACAAAATGATGGTGCCGTGAAAACTGAGATGTTCCAGGCTCCTCAGGAAACTCCAATCACATATCCACATGGAATGCAGCTCATAATGATCATGGTGTCCGTCATGATTAGCTTGTTTCTAACGTCTCTTGATCAGGTAAGACGATAAACTCCCTCTTGGGAGAGCCACTTTGAAGTTGATTGTTCCTGGCCTGCAGACTATTGTGGCAACTGCCATTCCTCGCATTACAGACGAGTTTCACGGTCTCGACAAAGTCTCTTGGTATGGTTCAGCATACTTTATGACGATGGCTAGTTTTCTCCCATCTTGGGGTAAAGCTCTGCGCTACTTTTCTGTCAAATATACATTTCTGCTTGCATTAGCAATCTTCGAGCTGGGCAGCTTGATTTGCGGTGTAGCTCCAAATGCCAATGTTCTAATTGCCGGAAGGGCGATCGCCGGCGTTGGATGTTCCGGTCTGGGCACTGGGGCCTTCCTGACTGTTGCATTAGCAAGTGAACCTCAGAAACGTGCAACACTTACAGGTATAATCATATCATGTTATGGCATTGCTGCTGTATGTGGGCCGCTGATCGGAGGTGGCTTCACGGCAAATATATCATGGCGCTGGTATGTAGATAACATGTTTTGAAAATAGAATGTTTAGTCCTGATGACAGAATTAACAGGTGTTTCTACATAAATCTCCCAATTGGGGCTATTTCAGCAGTCACTACTTTATTATCTTTCAATCTTCCGACTCCGCCAGTCGCGGCTCCTTTGAAAGAAAAAGTATTGCAGCTAGATCTAGTGGGGGCAATCTTCATGATGGCGGGACTTGTTACCTTCATACTTGGCTTCCAATATGGTGGGCAAAGCATGCCATGGGGAAGCAGTACTGTAGTTGGGCTGCTTGTTGGTTGTGTCTTAATATTTGTGGCGTTTGCTGTTTGGGAAATGCGGCAAGGCGAATATGCAATGGTTGTCTCACGTTTGTACAAACGACGAGCGGTCTGGGTCGGCAGCACATTCCAGTTCCTGTTCGCTGGAGCCTACTTCATTACTCTATACTACCTTCCGATCTACTTCCAGAGCGTCGACAGTGCCAGTCCTTCAGGCTCCGGTATACGAAACCTCCCTCTCGTCTTATCACTCGGTATCGCATCAATCAGCGGAGGCTTGGCATTGTCAAAGCTGGGTCATGCTGTGCCATTGATGGCAGCGGGTTCTTGCCTCGCCTCAGTAGCTTGTGGCCTCTTCTATACTCTCGATGAGAACACTGGGACAGGCCGATGGATAGGATCACAGATACTTGGCGGCATCGCCTGGGGCGCGGCTTGGCAATGTTCCTTGGCTGGTGCCCAAGCAGGACAAGATCCTACGGACTTGGCGCCGTTGACATCTATCATTCTTCGTGAGGCCATCAATGTCCCAAAATTTTAGAAAAAGTACTCACCAATTCAATAGTCTTTCAAATTCTTGGTGGAGCTCTCGGCCTTTCAGTCGCGCAATGCGGCTTCGATAACCAATTGGTTAAAACTCTGACTTCAGCTGTCCCAGACGTCGATTCGAGCCTCGTCCTTACCACAGGCGCCGCAGAACTCAGGTCTGTCTTTACTCCGGAGCAAATCCCAGGTATCATTCAAGCATACGTTGCGGGTCTTAGAATTGTTTGGGCTATTACCATTGGCTTTGCAGGCTGCGCGTTTGTAGTTGGACTTCTGAGTAGGTGGGAAAGACTCTACCACACCAGCGAATCAGGGAGCGCAAAAGAGCCTACAACTACTGCATAGTCATCCGTCCAAACCGAATGCGAAGGTGGATGGATTGCTCAGTTTGCATGTCCACTCCTTGTCTAGCAGGACGACATGTTCTCGTCACCAATGATTCGATCCTTAACGCCACTTACCTACGCTAGACGGCGATAATGGCGTTGAGCAATAGGGAGCATCTACATCACAAGGGCTCTGGCAGAATGCTACTGTATGAAGGGATCAGGATAAGAGTCATACACATCAAATAGTCATTATTGAAATGCTTTGCGACGAACTACACCAGATCTTCGCTCTCAGATTGATCAAGTAACGCATGAGGTACATGATAGGGATTGGAAAAGGTGACAAGATCTGACAATAGAAAATCCGAATGAGGGGGAGAGTCCGAGTTAATCACACTGGATACCCGTAACCAACCAGTAGTCCTCTTGCCGCCAGCGACGGCCTTCGGGTTGACCGGATCTGTTGGTAACCTGGGCATTGACCCAAGCGTTCGTAACGGTCTGTGATACTCGTGCGGGTAACACAGATGCAACGGAAGGTATGAGGAAAGATGATGAATATCAGAAAGAAGTCTCCAAAGGGGATGTCCACGAGATCTGTATACGGGCCACACGGCGCGGGCATATTCTCTGTCCCCTTTTTGCCACAATAAGTACCACCCCCACAGAAAGCACGTCATCGTCCTCGAAGACTAGATTTGTCTTTAAATAAAGCTATTCTCAAAGTCTCTCTATCTACTTACTTGCTGTATTTTATATAGCAATTTTATAGATAATATTAGTAACGATTTGATGTTGTCTTGTTCGACAACATTTTAATAATCTTCATCCTGTCCCACCGGATGATTTCGCTCCTATCGATGTGCTTCGTTGTTTGACATCCATCAAAATGACGCAATCAGTGTCTGTATCAAGGGGTCATTTGCGATCTTTTTTCCGTACCACTTGCTTAGCGGCAAAACCATAACTAGGTAAGCCGGTTGCATTAGTCTGGGTGCGGGTACCATGTGCGCGGTGTCTCCCGAGGCGTGGAATTGTGACGAAGGAATCATGAATCGCCGCCAATCGGTGCAGCTGGTCACATATGCCCTGGTGGGCCGAGATAAGGTTCTGACGCAAAACTTACTAGCGTCCCCGTTTTGTTCGGGTGCCGAGGTCCACACCCACTTAGTGATACCGAGAGGCTAGTCATGATTGTGGCCATTGACGGCGATAGCGTCGTAGTTTCTATCGGACATAAGAAATGCTCGAATCGTGGTCCGCCTTCTCCTAATAACTATAAAAACAGAAATCTAACGCTTTAACTTTCCGGAGAACTGAAAAGGAGACACATCACCGTCTAGGAGGAGCTCTTCAAGTTGCAGACCAACACAATGGCTACCGATTATGACTTTCAAGGCTGGCTAGGCCACTCCCCAGAATCAGTAGAGGGGAAGATGGAATGGGGCTCGTTCGAGCCTAAGAAATGGGCGGAAGATGATGTCGACATTCAGATAACACACTGCGGTATCTGTGGCTCAGATCTGCACATGCTCCGTTCTGGATGGAGTCCAACTCCTTATCGTAAGTCCTATTCGGCATCCACTGAGGATATTCGAGCCCCAAACTTACATTTATAAGCTTGCTGTGTCGGTCACGAAATCGTTGGCAAGGCAGTTCGCGTTGGTAGCAACGTAAAGGACATCAAGGTCGGCGATCGTGTAGGTGTCGGCGCCCAGGCTAGAAGCTGTTTAGAGCCCGACTGCCCGGAATGCTCCCAGGGGCTTGAGAACCACTGTCCGAGGGGCATGGTCAATACCTACGGCTCTGTATACCCCAATGACGAGGGAAAATCATATGGCGGATACGCTGACTATAATCGGACCCATTCGCGATTTGTCTTCAAGATCCCCAGTGGACTCTCGTCCGAAGATGCTGCTCCAATGCTATGCGGTGGTATCACGGTGTTTTCCCCTCTAAAGCATAACGGGTGTGGTCCTGGCAAGACTGTCGGCATTGTCGGTGTTGGCGGACTTGGCCACTTTGGTGTGCTCTTCGCTAAGGCTCTCGGTGCCGACAGGGTTGTAGGTATTTCCCGGAAGGCCTCTAAGAAGGACGAAGTTTTGGCTCTTGGAGCGGATCAGTACATTGCGACTGATGACGACAAGTACTGGTTTGTCGATAATGCGAGGTCATTAGACCTGATTGTTTGCACAGTCTCCAGTGAAAAGATGCCACTTTCACAATACTTGTCTCTGTTGAAAGTCGGAGGCACCTTCATTCAAGTTGGGTACGTTGGTCCAGCTCTGCTAGTAACTCATCTAAATTAGACTGACACCAAGCCTTCTAGCGCTCCTGATGGAGGGAACCTGCCTCCTGTCAACGCGTTCACCTTAATCGCCAGTGGCATCAAGATCGGTGGCAGTGCCATTGGCTCTCCAAATGATATTTCTGACATGTTGCAGTTTGCAGCTGAGAAAAAGATTAAGCCTTGGGTTCAGACGAGACCACTTAAGGATGCTAACCAAGCCGTTGTCGATATGGCTGATGGCAAGGCTCGGTATCGTTATGTGCTGGTCAATGACAAGCATGCGCAGTAAAGGCAGGAGAGTAGCTTTGCTTGTTATCAGATAACTTCTAAGCTTATTGTTGTAGAATATATACTTATAAATATATTCTCCCTTCAAGACTTTGAACGTGTTGCACGGGTAGACAGCAAAAGAACACACCCTTGAATTTCTTCTGGCGGCCCATTTGCGGACTAGGCTCATCGGTCGCCTTGTGTGGTGCATGCATGCATGTGCCACCACAGGACTGCTTACACCAAGCTCTGCCTTGCTTGCGCCGAAAAAGGCGACAAGTTTGGTGGCTGCTTCTTCCATGGCGCTTGGCGGGGCACTGCCTTCTGGGGGCCGACTATCGGCGAAGGCGAAACCGATACCTCGGGTTTAATGACAGGCACTACGAGAATGGGAAGCCTTCAGCCTTGTGGATCGAATGGCGAGTGACTGGAGGTGACAAGCTGACAATGTGGCGCGGAGTACAGATACAGCGAGAAACTGATCGATACTCTTGGCCCCCCATATGATCAACATAGCCTCTAGCTGACCGGTCAAAGGCTCACGACCAGAAGAAGGGGCCTTTCGCAAGGCAACCTCTTTGTTCGAACTTTCAATGGAATTTCAAAGTCAAGGTCAGTGAGCATGAGGCTCCAAATCTCGGCAAGACTATTGTAAGGAACCCTTAGAAA